AAGTGTTGTCCTTTCTGGTAGATCGTATAGGGGTGGGTGTGGTCCGGGACGGTCCGAGATTTGACCTATCCCAGTACTTGTCCCATGTTTATGAATTGGTCCGGGAATGGTCTGGGATGAGACACCGTCCCAAACGGATCGGTATCTATCGGGACCGAGACAAAATAGTTCGAGACCGGGACAAAACGGATATAAAAAAAAGTTCAAAACTTTAAATGGATTCACTATTTCAATGTAAAAAAAATACTTTGATTAGTGATGCCTGTGTAAAATCAGAGAGGAAGAGCCATGGAAATCGTAGAAGGAGAAGAAAAGATATCTGTCATATCAATAATGCTCTCTATCACAGATACGAAAAGGCAAGGGAAGGAAGAGATATTTACAGAACATAATTTAGGCACACCATTTAACACAGTTACAGACGGAACGAACAGATACATGGCCCCTTTCCGACAGATAGAGATAAGACAGAACTAATTACAGTGTATAAAACGTTCACTTAAGCTAATAAACTCAGTAATAGTAAAAGTACAGAAATACCCCTAAGCTATAAGTCCACAGCAAAACTACAACAGCCCCCCCTCAAGCTTGGGCGTGAAACTCAACAAGGCCAAGCTTGGACCGCAATGTAGAAAAGCTAGACAAACCCAAAGACTTAGTAAAAATGTCTGCAAACTGAAGATGAGAAGACACTTTAAGTGGAGCAACGAAACCTGCTTTAAACTGATTTCGCACAATATGACAATCAATCTCTAAATGTTTGGTGCGCTCGTGAAATACTGGGTTGGCCACAATATATAGAGCTGCCTGGTTGTCACACCATAGTGGTATAGGAGTAGGCACTGAGATACGCAAATCCTTAAGAACATAGGATAACCATAGCAGTTCGCAAACTGTGCTGCTAAGAGCTCGATACTCGGCCTCGGCCGAGGATCTGGAAACTGTAACTTGTTTCTTGGTTTTCCATGCAACAAGAGCACTCCCAAAGAACACACAATAGCCAGTAAGTGACTTTCTAGTGTCTTGGCAGGCTCCCCAATCGGCATCGCTGTAGGCTTGCAAAGAATGACTACTTGTAGAAGAATAGAACAAACCCAAAGTTGGCCGCCCCTTCAAATATCTCACAACATGGAGAGCTGCATCCCAATGTGAAGAAAGAGGCTTACTAACGAACTGACTAAGTTGTTGGACAGCATAGGTAAGGTCAGGCCTTGTGAGATTAAGATATAGCAACCGTCCCACAAGCCTCCTATATTTATCTGGTTCTGAGAGTACACAACCTGCGCTAGCTGAAAGTTTTAAACCACTAGGCAATGGAGTTGAAGCTGGTTTGCAAGTAATCAGGCCTGTGTCTTCAAGAATGTCCAAGACATATTTTTTCTGACTAAGATAGATGCCTGCAGATCCTCTTGCTAGTTCAATGCCCAAGAAATATTTTGCATCTCCTAGATCTTTGATGTTAAAAAGCTTATCCAAGTAAACCTTTAGAGCCTGCAAATCTTTCTCATGTGTACCAGTGAGTAAGATGTCATCTACATAGATGACTAATGCCATAAATCTGTTATCGCAATTCTTAACAAATAAGCAGTGATCATGAGCTGACTGTTCAAACCCAAACAAGAGTAGCTTAGCACAGAATTCAACATTCCACTCCCGAGAAGCTTGCTTTAAACCATACAAACTTCTTTTCAAGTGACAAACTTGACCAGGTAGTGCTTTAGTATATCCTTCAGGAGGGTCCATGAATATATCTTCACTGAGTGAGCCATGTACAAAAGCATTATTTATGTCCAAGTGTTGTAAAGGCCAATTCTGTTGTGTAGCCATAGCTATAAGCAACCTGATAGTGTCCATCTTTGCAACAGGAGAAAAACAATCCAAATAATCAATTCCATAAACTTGATGGTACCCTTTGGCTACCAACCTAGCCTTGTACCTATCAATAGACCCATCTGGTCTCAATTTCACTTTATACACCCATTTACTTCCTATTGATTTCTTTCCAGCAGGTAAAGTTACTAATGTGCAAGTGTTATTCTGTTCCAAAGCCCTCAGTTCCACATCCATGGCCTCTATCCACTCTTTAGCCTTACTAGCTTGGGCATAAGACTTAGGTTCTTGGATATTAGACAAATTTGCTAGAAAGGACATATAACAAGGTAAAAAAGAAGGTGAATTGTTAAGGTTTAAGAGGTTACCATGTTCACCTGGATCAAGATCAATTGCATTCTGAGAAGACAGTGGAGGAATGGTGGAGGTTAAGATGTAGTCAGCTTGCCAAATAGGTTTTTTTTTTTGGGTCTGGTGCTCTGTCTAGTGAGTGGAGTGGTTTGGGCAACAGGTTCAGGGAGAGTATCAGATGTTTCAGGTTCAGCAACTTCAATGACATCATATTCTGGATTATTGAGTGGAATATTTGGTAGTGGGGTTGAAGATGAATCACGATCATTGGTCAAATAAGGAAAGTTAGTTTCAACAAACTTAACATCCCTTGAGACAAGTATCTGCCCACTATCTAAATCAAACAATCTATATCCCTTTTTTCCTGTGACATACCCCAAGAAAACACAAACAAATGACCTAGTAGAGAATTTTGTCTTATGAGGATTTAAATTTGTAGCAAAGGTCAAACAACCAAACACCTTAAGAGAACTGTAGTCAGGTGGTGAACCATGTATTATCTCATAAGGTGTTTTCCAGTTTATAGCAGATGAAGGAAGTCTATTTATAAGGTAGGCTGAATGAAGGATGGAATAAGGCCAGAATTTTGAAGGTAAATGGGATTGAAACATGCTTGCTCTTGCCAAATTAAGTAATTGTCTGTGTTTCCTTTCTACTACCCCGTTTTGTTGGGGAGTATAAGGACAAGAAGTCTGGTGTAATATCCCTTTAGAAGAAAAAATTTTCTGACATTCATGACTCATAAACTCTGAACCATTATCACTTCTAAAACTTTTGATGTGAATTTGAAATTGAGTGTATATCATCTGTATGAATTCTTGTAGTATATTTGGCACTTGGGTTTTATGTTTAAGGAGATAAACCCATGTCCCCCTACTATGGTCATCAACAAGAGTAAGGAAGTATGAACTGTTGGTCACATTAGCAACATTATAAGGCCCCCACATGTCTATGTGAACAATATCAAATAAAGAGTCTGCATGAGATTCACTGATTGAAAATGAAAGTCTAGGTTGTTTTGATTTATGGCAAACTGTACATTGAGACACATGATTTTTGGATTCAACATTGCAAATGGAACTAAGGAATTTCACATGCTCAAGCACATATATGGAAGCATGACCTAACCTCTGATGCCAAATGGCAAAACCCTCCTTATTTGACATAGAAACTGAACTACACAATGTGTTTTTGAAATGAGATGGGAGAAGAATATAAAGTTTTCCCACTGTCTTGCCAGTTGCAATGGTGATCTTAGTCTCCAGGTCCTGCAAGGAGAAGTTCTGAGGGTTGAATATGCACATTATGTTTGATTGTTGGGCTAATTGTGCAACTGAAATCAAGTTGTATTTAAAACATGGTATATATAGAACATCTTTCAAGGTAAGATGGGAATTTATGGTAACATTTCCTGAGTATCTCACACACATATTTGTTCCATCTGGTAATAGGATTTTTATAGGTGATATGGCATAAATTGTATTGAAAATGTTAGGGTCGTTACTCATATGCCTACTAGCTCCTGTATCCAAGATCCAAGAACCCTCATCTATTTGTTCAATACTAGTTAAAGCATAAGAGGTTGTACCTTCCAGAGGGGTACCTGCAAACTCCACAAAATGTGCATGGCCTTGAGGATCTTCAGAATTGTGATGGCTTCCTGTGGATAAGTATTTAGCTATCTCATGCCTGATCAGATTGGATATGTCTTGTAGAGGCTCCTCAGCATTATGTCCTCCTGCCTGAGTGTGATCCTTATTGTAGCCTTCAGTAGCCTTGACATTATTCACCATCATTTTCCCTGTGCCCTTTGCTCTCTCTTCCTTAAGAGACTTAAAGCACTCAGGATAGCCATGCAACTTGAAGCAATTCTGAGCTAGATGACCATTTCCTTGACAGTAATCACACTTTAGTCTTGCTTTTTCTTCCTTTGTCATCCTCACGACACCTCTGCCTTTTCCACCTTGCCCTATGATGGTAGTATTTCCCATTTTACTCAT